TTTTTTTTTTTTTTTTTTTTTTTTTTGTATGCCCTTGATTTAAAATGAAAGTATGATTTTTTGCTTAAAAAGCAAAAAGGAAAATGAAATCTTTATGTGTGATATATTTTAGGCATTGTAGTTACCTCTCTCAACGAATCTATGTTTTCTGGATTGTGAATTCAGACCGATGGATAGATTTCTAGTTGTTAAAAAAAGGGTTGTACATAATGAAATATATTTAACCATCTCATTATAGACAGCTTCAAAGTTCGATCTAATGTTTTGTAGTTTTTATTAATTCCGTTCTTTCTTTCTTACTATTATTGCGATGGAAATAGGTCAGAGTTTGGAATGTAACTGCACCGACTATCCGTTCATCATGTTGCGTTGGATTAACTTCTCTTCCTGGTGCTCCTATAAACATTAAGTGCCATGAATCCTTGCTCTATGCTGCTACAAGTTCCTCCGTTGTTGCTGTCGATTTAAGGACTATGCAGAAAGTTCTAACTGCTGCAGCTTATCAACCATTTCTATACTCATTCGAGATGATTCCCTCTAAATCCTTAATATGCACAGGTGGTAGAGGAAGGTACGTTCTAGTTCATTGATCAAGAGCAATGCCCATATGTCTAAACTTTTATAGTGTTTATTTTAGTGAATGGATTTTCAACACAACCATTTTTAGCATTTTAATGGATGGATGACACGATTTTAAATATCTATACTGATGTGTTGACTTTAGGCATATATTGAAGATGCTTAGGCTAGTTGAGAAACTGTTGATGTAAACGTCTGGGAGGCAGATTCGGGTGCACACGCAAATTCATTGAGCTGCTGGTTCACTGAAAGTACGGACAGCAGCACTACATTGTCCTCTATGGCTGTTAATGGGTGTAGAATTGTCACTGCCTGCTATGCTGAAGATCTGGGACTTCTACGCTGCAGGGACTACACCAATGCTCCTTGTCCCATTGTTAGACACGACGAGGTTGTCTCCAAATTTTGGGATTCACAATGCTACGACGACAACAACGATAACTCCGACGTGTAGTACATCATTTGTAAGTTGTATATAATTTCGTTTTCTCTTGTGCTTACGATCTTGGTTTTGTCAACTTGTGCACAATTCAGTTGATTAAGATATATACCATCAATCAAGAGATTGAAAGTTCGAAGTTCGAGTTGTTACTCCCAAATGTTAAATGTCCAAACTTATCTTAACCTTTTAAATTTAATAAGAGTTGAATTATCTTTTAAGGGATTAAGATTTAGACATTAAGGAGGTTATTAATGTAATTTTGAATTGTAACCGTTATATAACATGAGTGACATTCCTTATTGGTAAGGAGTGTTTAAATGTATCAAATTTTACACGAAGTGACTTATTGTTCGATGGGTGACAAAAAGAAAAAAGGTATTATCATATTCTTTTTTTGGTACTCACATGTACGTTCTCTTAATTTACATTATAAATAATAATACTTTGGGCAAAAATCAATTTATTATCTAAACTTCGGGAGTTGTACGAGTAAAAACTCAAGCGGTTGTTCATTACCGTTAACTGTTTTATAGCTAATTGTTCTCGGTTAATACTAATCAATTTTTATATATTTTTTTTATAGCTGATTACTAACACTAAACTAAGCCGATAAGGTTGATGTATGAAATTAAAAGTTTAAAAAAATTTATAATTTACGCGAGAAAGTCTGAAAAATAATTAAATAAAAATTTTCAATATTATTGAATTTATTATAAATTTGATGTAATTTAATTTTTGAGGGAAAGAAGAAGTGAAGGCAACATAAAAGATGAAGTGATAATCAAAATTTGGTGGAAATTGGGATGTGTCCTGGTTGACTCGCCAAGAGGCATCACTGAACCCGCTCTTCCTCCATACGATAATTTCATCTCCGCCTTCTTCTTCTTCTTCGATTCTCCCTTCAATTCCCTTCAAATGTCTCTCTATGTCAATGGGTTCTCCTCGAAATCCATGAAAAAATCCTAATCCTCTCATAATCACATCCATTTCCCTCTCTTCCTCATTTCCAATCCAATCCAATCCAAAACCCTAAAAATGCCCACCACCGCTGCCACCGCCGCTGCCACTGCGATCGTCTTCCTGTTCATCATCGCCACCGCCTCCTCCGCTCCGATCCTCGGCCTCGATTCATTTCTCGCTCAGCAATCTCGCTTCGACCCACATGCCTCCAACGACACATTTCTCTCCCTCTCATCGTCTCTCAAGAAATCCCTCTCTATTTCTTCTTCTCCTCCTCCTCTCATTCCTTCTTTTATCTCCTCTCTCCTCTCCCTCTCCCTCTCGTTCTCTCTCCATGTTCGTCTTGTCGGCGATTTCCCCTCCGATTCATCGACCCATCTCTCCTCTTTCCTCTCTGCCTCTCTCCCTTCTGACCATTTCCATGTTATTACTCCTTTTGATTCGTATCAACACCGTCTTGCCCTTAAGCATTCCCTTCATCTCGACGTATCTCATGCCTCCTCTCTGGCTACCCATCTCTCTGAGATCTTGAAATCTGAAATTGCCGGCACTACTTCTAGCCTTCGATCTTTGCTTCTTGCTGTACCCTATGACTCTGTGGATCGTCTCATAAAGCAGGATTTCGAGAAGGAGAAATCCGGCCAAGGGGTTTATATATATTTGCTTAATTTGGGCACCCAAGACAAGCCGTATGCTTACAAATATGGTGAAGGGGATTCTTCCCCTGGTTTTACCAAGTGTTTGGGAAGCATTTGGAGTGGTGCCGAAAGGTATTTATGGATTGATTTGGGTGCAGGGCCTGTTGATTATGGACCATCTCTGTCTGGAGATGGGGTTCTTCCTAGAGGAGAGTTCCATCCTTTGACGACTTTGCACGGCCGCCCTAAGTCCCAGAAGGCGCTGCTGGCGGATTTGGCTTCGTTGGTTTGGAGTGCTTACCAGGTTCATTTAGTTCCTTCTATGAGAATTCCTATTCCTTTTGAGAGTTCATTGGTTGTTCAATTTGTACACATTTATGGGTCTGAGAGTAATGATGGAGATGAGTTGGATTGGAAGTCTATTGAGAGAACCTTGAATGATGCTGGGTTGTTGTTGGGTGAGCAGTCTTTGAGATTTAAGTCTCATAGGGTAAGCTATGCTAAGTGCCCCATTTGTGCGTTTGCAATATCTCGGTCCACCAATTCGTTTACTTCCCGATTTTTGTTTGATAACTATACTTTGATTGTGAATGAGTATTTGGATTCTAAGCGATTGCATCAGATTCTGTCTGATTCTGCTGAGGAGTTTAGAAGGGCTGGATTCCCTGAGGATGTGGATATGGCCAGAGTTATTCCCGTTTATGTATTTGATTTGAACTTGAACTCAATCTTGTTGCTTGATCGTTACCATCAATCTGTAGCATTTAACGACATGGTTATTGCTGTAAGGACAAGGAATACACAGACTGTGAGTGATTATAGCTGTAATGGCCGCCATGTATTTACACATACAAGGAATCTTGAGAGGCCACTAGTCGGTTCGATTTTACAGAGTATGTGGGGAGTTTCACCTACCCATTTAGCTTGGAGCTCGAGGCACAACGATACCATAGTCGATTACTCGTGGAGCATCGGGCAAACTCCTTTCGGTCCATTCTCTGAGGTCTCCTCCTTATCTTTTGTTCAGAAGGATGCAGCGAAGAGAAACGTTATCTTGACATCATTGAATAATAGTATCACTAGTGCAATTGATGTTCTTAACTCTGTATCTGCACATGGGGGTGATAGAAATCTGCTAAAATCGAAGCAACGAACAGAGTTCATACAGCGGTGGAACCTTTTCAAATACAAGCTGGACAAAGTGGTGTCTGCAATGTCGCATTTTGACTTCGAGATGGCTTTGTACTACATAAGATCTTCAGATCATGACCTGTACACGCTTCACTCCATCGTCTACAATGCATCCCAAGAACTTGAGGCATCGTTGATTTGCTTTAAAGATCCTCCATTTCCATGGGGTTCTGTGTCTGTATCTGTAGGAGTTTTCTTTGCTTTCCTGTATGTTTACACAAAGAGAGATAGACTTTTCAAGAGCAAAAGAAAGCAATTTTGATGCTCATTAATGGGTTGCAGGATATGTATTATCCAACGGCATCTCATATATGTAATTTCATTGCAGAGATAGATGGAAGTGTTAGGATGTTGCATTCGATCGTATGAAACCGGGTACTTTTTTTTATATTTGGCAATATACTCGAGTTCTGGATTATTACTTTTCTATGTTTCTGCAACATTTGAGATTCATGCTGTAGTTGTTTGCTTTAGAACAGAGCTGAATAAAGCAAGAAGTAATTGATTCATTTGTGTCCACAGTAGACAGAATCGAGTTCTTACTTTCATATTAACATGTTAAATATGATGGTATGAACAAAGTACACACAAAATCAAGCTCTTTTTCAGGGTGCTTTGAAGCGATGAAATGAGCCATTTAAGAATGAATGAAGCTCACTTTCTTGCAGCTCTTTGTCGGAGCTGCAAACAAACGTTTCATCTGTAAGTTTATCACAGAAGACGTCTCCAAATTCATCGAACACATTGTCAAGCACAGCTCGAGTCTTCGCCTCTTCTCCATTAACAGCCTCATCCACTGAAAGGTTGGAGTTGGTCTCGACGAGTTTCTTGAAAAATGAAGATCGAAGAAGGAGGTCGAGAGCTGATGGAGAAGATTTAACATAACTGTTGAGAGGAATGCTGCAGCTTTTATGAAGAAGCTCTTGCTTTTGAAGAGAATGGAAGGAATTGTCGTGGTAGTGATGGTTTTGGAAAAGGGAAGTTTCTTCTGCTGGGAAGATGGAGCTGGAGTTGCAGAGCTCCTTGAGAGGGTCCGATGTCATTTGGGATTCGTTCGGGGTGGCGACGGGTGGCAGTGGAGGTTTCAGCCAGGCCATGTAATTGCTCCAGTCGAAGTTGGTAACTGCATTGATCCCTCGGTATTCAATGGCTGCCATATCGTAAGCTCGAGCAGCTTCCTCTTGAGTTCCTGTGGTGGAAGATCAAACAAATCTGTGAGTATAAGTCTAATTTAATTGTTAACTAAGAACTAAGTGTTTAGAATTAGTTACCATAAGTTCCAAGGTAGAGGTACTTGTTCCCATAAACTCTCCCAATTCTTGCTTCCCATCTACCATTGTGATGGTGCCTGCAAACACCCAGATTTCCTTTTGGATGCTTAAACACATTCAAGAAGTTCATCACAGCACAAAAATCAACAAGAACTTCACCTTGCCACTCCTCTATATTTTGACACACCTCTAGAGAATCCACTGCTTTTTCTGAAACAATACAATTCAAGTTAAAACAAAGCCAATTTGATGAGCACAGTCAAGATGTTTGATGAATCCATACCTTCTTAAAGAGGCCAAATACTCCTCCTTTGTCATCGTCTGCATTATCTCAATCTCCTTCTCATAATCTGATATCTACGTAAACATAATGTTGATCTGAGTAATCTACTGAAGTAGCTATGAACTGTTGAAGGGTTTGTAATAGAAACTCAACTTACTGGAAAATTAGTGATAGTTGTTACACCCCAGTACTTGAGTGCTGCTAAATCATACGCTCTTGCAGCTGATTCTTCTTCATCATAAGCTCCTATCATATAATCAAAACATATAAACATGTCATTCATAGAGACAGCCCAAACCTACCGCAAGTAGATATTGTTTTTTTTTAGTTTTTTTTTTGGGCTTCCTCTCAAAGTTTTTAAAACTCGTATGCTAAGGAGAGGTTTCCACACCCTCCTAAAAATGCTTAGTTTCCCTCTCCAACCAATATGAATCTCACAATCAAAAGTGGATAGAGACTATGTGTCAGCAAGGACACTGGCCCTAAAGAAGGTGAATTGGGGGTCCTACATCGATTGGAAAGGGAAACGAGTGCCAACGAGGACGCTAGGTCTCGAAGGGGGTAGATTGTTAGATCTCACATTGATTGGAGAAGGGAACGAGTGCTAGTGAGGACCAAGTTCGGTTGGGGAGGATAACAAAACATTGCTTATAAAGATGTGGAAACTTTTTCTTAGCAACTCCCTAATAGTGGGCTTGAGCATAACGAAAAAAGTTTTTGAATTGATGAATGACTCACCGAGATAAACTGGTTCGATCGTCCAAAATTTCAGTTCATCAAAAGGGTCATGAAGATGTGAGGAAAAAAAGAAAGAACATATTCAATACCCCATGAGAAAGTGTTAGTAAAAGAAGAAAATGGAAGATTCAGATACAGAGATGTATGAAAAAGTAAGTTCTTACCTTGTTTACCCTTCTTCTTTTGTGTCAAGTTCCAAGAAAGCTTATCCCATAAATGAGCTTCAAACCGACCCGTCCATCTATGTCTTCTCATCACAAACACAAAGCCATAAATTTCCATTAAGGAACACCAAAATCTCACGCATCATATCAGTTTCTTACCTGCTGACGCCGCGAAATCTTGAGCTCCGCTTCGTAGTGGTGGTCGGAGCTTGATCGGATTGCTGCTTATTTTTAGTTTGATCGATGGCAGAGGCAGTGGAGGGATCTCTCCGCCGTCTCTTGACACGTCTGGTGGCCGGAATTTGGCCTTCCGTCCAACATATTCTTAGATTCTCCTCGTTCTTCAGAATCAAAGCTGGCGCCTCCATTTCTTTCTGGGTTCTTCCCCTCCACCTCTGCAAGTTTCAATCCATTTGAATATAATGTATATATACAATTCATGTTCTTGTACTATTTTCAAAGCCTGTCTTTTCAGTTTCTGTTTTATAAGATCAAAACTTGGAAGAACAGCCAAGAATGAATTGTTGGATGATGATATTAATTCTTGTGGGGGAAGGAAGTCCAAAAGAGGAGAGTCGATAATTCCGAAGCAGAGTTGAGAGAAGACAAAGAACCCCGTTGTCCACATTGTGCCTTCCAACGTTATTTCATTATAAAACATAAAATTTCCTCTGTTTCTTTTTGCATCAGCTGGTGAAAGGACTTCTGGTTGTTTAGACGTGCTCCTCAAGCCTTTGAGTGTTGATCTTTTTTGAGAGATTCTGTAAAAGATTAGAATGAAATTGATTGAGAGTGGGGTTGAGGATGGGATCATGGTAAGGAACTTCTGCTAGTGCTGGTGCCTCTTGAGCTGCCCGTGGTGGAAACGCCACTTCCTGTCCAACTTACATGTATTGACATGAGGCTTCAAGGATTTGGCTAAAGGTTGAAGTGTTAAAACACTCGAGGGATCGAACGAGGCCATTGGCCAATCTAAAAACCAATACAATTGATTTTCTTAAAGGTCAACTCGAGCTAAAACGGTTATGATTATTAACATGATGTCAATCAGGAGTCTTGATAACCTTGAAGAGTGTTTGTAACGTGGTAATATTTGTTACACATCTTCACTATAAAATAAGGAGACGACATTGAAAGGTGCCTAAAAAATTACTTACAAATTCTCTAGTCTAAGCTGTTCTTAAACTCGATTACTAATTTGAGTGTAAGCGACTTAAGAATACACGGGTGTCAACATCAATTCCAAGTTTACCCCTAAGCAAAAAGAATATCTTGTTAAATTTCGTAAGATTCTCGATAACAAATTTATCCTTTGTTATTTACGCATGGGGACAACAAATTGATCAAATTAAAAACATAAAGTTGATTGAAAAAGACATGTTTGTCTTGATTTGAGAAGTTTAAGGAAAGCTGGAGAAGCTTGTGTTTTAGTGGGAGGAAGCAACAATGGAGGAAAGTGATGGGTTTTTTTCAGTTGCAGAGATGAGTAGAGTTACATGAGAAGTTGGCATGAGCAGCTAAAACTGTGATCTTGTCGGCATCAATGAGAATGATTCTAGTTTGACTCTTCATTTTATGTCTTGTACTTGTGGAAGAAGAAGAAGAAGAAGAGGAAGAAGCCAAAAGCCACACTACATAACACAATTTTGGTCCCTCTCCACTGTCCAAAACTCCAAACACTTCCAAATTATGCATCACGATCTTTCCTATGACCGTACTTGTTCTATTTTGAATCCCTCAACTACGAGATCCCACTGTCTGTTGGAGGGGAGAACAAAACATTTTTTATAAGGGTGTGAAAACCTCTCTCTAATAGACACATTTTAAAACTGTGAGACTAACGACGATACGTAACGAGCTAAATCAAACAATATCTGCTAGCAATGAGCTTAGATGGTTATAAATGGTATCAGAACCAGATACCGAGCGGTGTACTAGCGAAGACCATATCGACCTCAAGGGAGTTGGATTGAGATATCAGAACCATGATAACCTCTACTGTTAATTGAATATTGGTTGTTTTATTTATTTATCATTATTATTATTTGCAAGAGGATGAAAATTTACTTTTTTGAGTAATCAAGCCGATACTCCAGTGCGGGCAAACATACGTTAGAGACGAAAAACAACCAATCAAAATCAATGTAAAAAGATTACGATGAGTTCGTAAACACTATATCACCACCGTTTGGCGCCATGAGAGTGGGACTCGCAATTCCTCCCAAACGATTAAAAACCCTTCTCCTCGCATTTCTCTTTCTGCGATTAGCTTGCTTCTGGTTGGTCTCAGGTTTCCAGCCATGGCTGACGGTCAGCTCTACAACAATATCTCTCTCGGCGGTCGTGGAGGCACTGTAAGCTCTCTCTCTCTCTTTCTCTCTCTTTTGAACGGTAACTTAACTAGGTTTCTTGGTGGAGTTGGATCATTGTATTTAGTATAGATTATGGGCATTGGGATGTTCTTGTGCTTTTCAAACCCTAAGTTTTGAACTATCCCTAGATTCTGTATGTATTTACATGGTAGTTTTGTATTGCAAACTGAAAAGTAATAGGCGGATTTCTTATATTTCTCCACTGTTGTATCTCTGTGTACCTCCTCGTGGCGCTGCGTGCAAATAGCCAGAATAATTAGTTATTTTCTTGTTGGATTTTTATGGGAAGGGAATGCTGATAATCTATCGCAGGTTTTCTTTAAGTTTCCCAAGTTTATAAAATTTGATGCGGTTGTTATCTTTTTCCGAGTGTCATCTGTTGGGAACACGTGGTAAAGAGTTCTATTTCGGACTATGTAATTTTTTATCCTTCGCATCTCACTAGTTGCATTCGGTGAACTTCTTAATATTGGAGGATACTCAGCAACAAAGGAAGGAAATGATCTTTAATAGTTACAATTTCTGATTTTGCTTTGTGGGCTTCAGTTCTGTGAAAGTATGGAATGATGAACATGGATTCTAACAGTTATCCT